GATCTAAAATATATTTTCCTTCATTATCTATTAATTATCTATCTGAACATTATAATTACTTTAAAAAAAGTTTTGTTTATCTTTATTTTTAAACATGAAAGAAATATTTTAAAAGCCGTATTATTTATGAAATGACCCAATATTTCAATTGTTGCTTCAATCCTAGTGAATCACTATGTTCATGAATAAATAATGACTTATACAAATTGCGTTTCACTGAAAGGATGGAGGTATTCTATGAAATGAATGATGCACAAGAAACTGTTGAAAGATTTAAAATGCCTTTAAAATTTCAAGAAAGATGCACCGTTCAATCCATTGCACCTTGAAATTCTGCGCGTTCCTTTGCACATGTCTTATTATGCCTCTTTAGTCTTTGCATAGTCAAAGTGATTAACTTTATAAAAAAAGTAAAATAAAGAAATGTCACAAAATATATATATATAAATACAATGTATAAATACAAAGAAATGATTGAGAGTTTTATCACTAAAATTGTAGAACATTCAAAAAGTAGCTTTAATCACTATGAGCTGTAACACTAGGAGAATGAAAATCTGATAGATTAATTAGTTTTTGATTAATCTGAGATCAAAGAAAAATATCAGAAAATGTCATATCGAAATGTTCTGTCAATGATGCATTGCGTACTATACAATAGGTTTCCTTTTCCTTTGTTAGAATCATTTAAAAAGTTCTTGCTTCGTGCTGCTAATTTTATGTACATCAATCTCTTTGTAACCCTTTTTTAGAAACTGAAACATTGTTGATTATATTTGAACATAGTTTCTAGGGCACATGTGGTCCTTGCATTATAATTAACCTACCCCCCACTATTTATGTGCTACAAACTTCTATTGTACACGGCATGCAAACCTATAAATACCATGGAACAATTGACAGAATACAGAATTATGTAGTATTTATAATAAGACAATGAGCCATTAGTTAAACATATTATATCCTGCTGTTTAAAAAAAGAGACTCGTTGTATCATACATTCCTGATGTCTGTCTATCACCACTATGATTATAGATTCATGATAGCTATTGTAATTTGGTCTCCTTTATCAAAAACAGTAAAATTCATCATGGAGTTTTATCAACTCTTCGCCAGCTTAATTGAAATTTTTTAATCTCTCCCAATTTAAAAAATCGCTGTTATTAAAGTAAAAGATATTTTGCTATTATCAACATTTTCACTTTGAAATAAATGTGAACTTATTAAGAACAGAAAATTTGTTTGCCTTCTTATAAATTGTTAATAGTAGAACAGATTTGATGAGCATAGTAAATATATTTCAGATTAAAAAAATATATTTTCTAATAATTTTAACTCACTCTGATGTCTTTTTATAAAAATCTAAATTTTTAGGATAATAGACGCACACATTTGCCATTTAAGTGCACTAAAGTGCACCAAATCATTGTTTATATGTACAAAGATATTAACCTTTTGCACTGGACAATATTTTTTATTATAAACATTCATTATTTCCTGACGAAACATCGATAATACTGTTTACAATGAACGTAAAGAAAAATCTGGTGTAACACAAGGGGCAAAACTATTTTATTTAAATGTTTCATATGTTAATGCACTGCGCAAAATTTAATACTGGATTCTTAATTTGGTCATTTCGCTCTGTACAATCAAATGACAACTGAAAGTCGCCTCTCGAGAGCAAAGGATTAATCGTTTTATAGGCTTTCCACGATTCACTTGTTGGTTCGTCCATGATTCACATCACTGCGATAAGACGCAACCGTTTAGTCAACTTGTCCACGCGTTGCACCTGCCAACGGCTACCGGTGTTAATCAGGTGCCGAGGCTAACAGTAAAAGTTAGATCGGGTGCGTCTAACAGTAAAAGAAAGCTATCGAATGCAAACCACGAAGTTATCGAGCGAATAAAAATGAGCACTTCCGACAACGCTCAGACCCACGTGGTAAATGTGTAACTGACAAAAACTCGCGAAAGATTTCTGACGAGCGGTATTCTAGCATCTGTTTTATTCGTTGAACAATCATCTGAGAAATCACCATCTTTTTCGTTTCTTCAGTTATCGAGCCACTCATTGGCCAAACCGGTTAACTCCAGTTTTCAAATTTTTTTAGACTTTATCGACCATGTGCTTGATTGGGTTTTAACACTAAACCTATCCACTTAAGAATTTGTGTTTTGCAGATATTTAAATTATTAAGGCGTTTTTGCGAAAGATTTTCAGTTAAATTTATGGATCTGTACACATACAAACATAAAGAAAGGGTTCCCTTGTTAGGCTAGGACCTCAAGAAACCTATTGTTCTAACATGATCTGCATTTTGCGTTACGTCCTATTAACTCTTTGCGCTCGGAAGTTTTTCACTAAAAATATTTTAATAGTTTCTGATAAGATGAAGACGATATTTATTGAAACTAACTCGAAGAGAAATTATACGTACATTGAGGAACAAAGTTATTTTATTTCAATATTTCTCAAATTGACGCATTATACAATGTATAATATTAAATATTAAATTTCATAGTTTTACTGCATGAAATCAGGTGGTGAGTGAGAGTCACCTTTCGAGTGCAAAGGGTTAAAAAGAAAGCGATCGTCTTGATCGTGAATCTCTCTTGCCACATGATCGAACACTTTTCTGGAAGGCGTTCATTAGATGCCATTAGAAAAGGTATCGCGGAATAGCAGATTAATCCAGCTGCATTGTATTCCCGTGTGAAAAACAATTCAGCAAAAAATGCCATTTTCCACGTTGAACGATCGCTTCTCATAGTGTAAGTTCTCAGTCTTTTTCCCACACACTTTTCTGTTACGCGGTTTTCAACCACTTCCTGAACACCGTGTTCCCAACTAATTACATTCTTCCGGTCGTATCAATCTTTCGTTTCTCTATTCCCGATCTTTCTCCGATTTACTCGTTCATTCATTTTGCAGCTCTCGAAAATATTTGCGATGCATTTCGATCAGTTTCTTTCTTATCTTTAACACTACAACTATCGAGCAGTTAAATTGATTTTTTGAAATTCCTCTATAGAAACTTTAAGCGTGCATCTATTGAGACTTATTTGATTCGTAATTCGGTCCGCGCATTGCTAAATCAATTTCTTTAATAATCCTAAGAGAAACATCTGTTGTCTTTTTAATCATTGCAAAGTGAAGAAATCAGGAATGGGTCATTTTGACATATCTGGTAGTTTTTGTGTTAAAGACACGAATCCTTTAGCATTTTCTGTGAAAGAAAGTATGAATTACTTTTCGTTGAAACTTTGCATACGCTTTTACTTTCGAAAAACGTTTACTTTTTTTTGAAAACTTGTAATGCAATCTGTTACTAACTCTTATGCTGATTAATTCTGTATTTTGATTAAAATTACGTCATATCTTGTAAGAAATTATTATATTGTAACATTTTTATTTATAGAATTAACTATTAACTACTGAAATATATAAACTATTCCAAGTTAAGCGCAACCCCAAGGAAGTTTACTTCAAATACAAGAAGTGAAGTAGAAATTATTTCGACGCTGAATGTGAACCCTTGACCTACAGTATCGTGTCAGACTGGTAACGAAAATTTTCTACTGAATTTGAGAAATCTACGTGCTATTTATTTTAACGTAGACATGGAATGAGCTTGAAAATTTGTTCTTTTTCTAAAAAGTTATTAATGATAACGTAGTAGTACCGATCATAGCTGAAGAATAAATCATAGGGCAAGGGGTTAAGTAATGTTCAAAAGTGGAATTAATCACTTTGACCAGTGAACGGTTTGCACGGATTCATCGAGTGAAAACTCCGTTGCCGTGAGCAAAACATAGGAAAATCAGTTAATCTGACCGTACCGTATGCATGCTTATCGAGGCCACCTATTTGAGTCTACGATGCAGTCGGCGCTGTGTAGTTTGTTCTTTCTTAAGGTCTTATAAAGTACAGTTGTAAATTATCAGCAAGCAATATTTAGAAAATCTATTTAACACCGATTGATGTGCCACTCAGCTGATCAATGGATTTTCATCTGTTATTAACTTTCACTTTCTCTGATGAGATTCGAATAATAACAGTAATTCGTAGCGAAACAATTGAATACGTTAATTAGAAGTTCGAACCACGCCTGAATATTCCACGCTCTACTCGTATGATACTCGGAAAGCATTGAAAAATATTACCGACGATTCTTCTTAGGAATTTCTCAGTAATTTTTACACATTTCTTAAAATTCACGGTAGAATTACGGATCAGTTAAATTGACTTCCTTTTAGTCTTCTGCAGATGTTATGACGGTGTAATTATTG